ACACACACACACACACACACACACACACACACACACACAATCAGTTTTATGTTTGCCAGTCTTTCTTCTGTTGTCTGTCCTTTCCCTGAGTTTTTCTAAGTAATTTTTTGTGTGCCCATCTGAGCACCCTTAAGTAGTGCCAAACAGTCGGTGGTTCCTCGTTTGGAGTGCCTACTGCACTCTTAGGGGGCCCGATCGGTTCGGGATGTTTGTGTTGCCTGCGCCCGATGACGGATGCTCATCGGAGTGACTCCCTGGCCTAGCGGGTGGTGGGAACTAACAGTCTGCGGGGTTCAATCGTGATGTGAGTAGGTCATGTGCTGTTTTGCCCCGTGCTGGATGTGTGGACGTCCTCGTCTGCGCTCCTCCGCTGCCCTGCTGCCTGTCCTGCTTGCTTCACATGTGGTTCTTTGCAGGTTGATGTGTTCATTGTGTGGTGTGGCCGTGTTGTTGGTGTTGCCTTGTGTTTCGCTGCTCCGCTGCCATGCTGCTCATCCGCTGGCCGTGGTTTCTGTGTTTGCCTCTTGTGTGCCCTGTAGGCTCGTTGCCATGTTGCTGGTATCTTGTGCTCCGCTCCACGGTTGCCGGTCAGCTGGTCCTCTCGCCCTGTGGTTCCCTGCAGCGCTGTTGCCTTGCTTGTGTTGTCTTGTGCTTCACAACGCGGTTGCCGCACTGCATGCCCTGCGTGCCATGTCGTTTCTTGCAGTCGTTTTTAAATTGGCGTTGTGCAGCCATGTTGCCTCTACTGTGTTGCCTGGTGCTCCATGGGGTTGCTGCCCGCCGCTATGTTCCTCTTGGGGACAGTCTGCCTTCAACAAGGGTCAAAGGGTTTATGACCCAAACCATCGAATATGGAGATTTTGCAGATTGTTGAGGGTTCAGCCTCCTGATGAGTCAGACCAGTCGGTGCAACTCCGACGAAACAATCTAATAGTATCATGCTCTATTTTTACGCTTTGTTTCTTAAACTTCTTTTGCTACCTGTTCTTTTGTCTGCCTTGTTGTCTTGTTGCCGTGCTGCGTCTTGACTTCCTGTCCATTCTTTTCTTGCTTAGTGTTGTTTGTCTGCCCAACCGCCTCTTCTATGCCCTCCAACTGCCCGCACGCCTCCCCCATGCCATCCACCCTTTTTTTTTTTGCTGCAGCTTGTCATCCAAGTACCGTGCTGTGCCTTGACCTTAGCCTTGCCATTTTGCTTGCTTTGTTGTACCTGTCTTACCGCTGGTCAGTTTGGTTTTTGTTCTTCTTCTCTCTTTTTGTTCATTTCCTGGCTTTTGAAAGTTGGGTATTGTAAGTATTTTTTTCTACGGGCATCCCCGGCTACGGGCTATTTCCCGGTATTGTTTATAAGCACACTTTCCGATGCAACATGCTGCGACACGGTCGAAGAACCCACACAATACAAATCACACACACACACACACACACACACACACCCACACACACACACACACACACACACACACACACACACACACACACACACACACAAACTAACTAATTACATATTCCTGTGTCGTATGGCCGTTCGTACAAGGCTGTACTATACTGCATCACATGCCAAAAAAAAACAAAAAATAAATTTAAACATACGGGTTGAAGAGCACAAAAAGCTCTATGACCCCTTTCTTTTCTTTTTTTAGTTCTTTCTTAGATTAAAAAACAGAAAAAAAACATTCAAAGAGTGAAAAAAAAAAAAAAAGATTTGATTTATTGATGGATTGATTGATGGTGGATCCGTTGTTGATTGCTTGATTGCTTGATTGCTTGAGTGAGTGACTGATTGAGTGAGTGAGTGAGTGAGTGAGTGAGTGAGTGAGTGAAATTTGAAAACAAAAAAAGGAAAACCGCGCACAATAGCGCACGGCTGTGTGTGTGTGTGTGTGTGTGTGTCTCTCTGTCTGTCTGTCTGTCTGTCTCTGTCTCTCCCTCTCTCTCTCTCTCTCTCTCTCTCTCTCTCTCTCTCTCTCTCTCTCTCTCTCTCTCTCCCTCTCTCGTTTCTTTAGTGCAGATTGTCCACTGTTAGGAAAACTCGAATTCCCTTTATTTAAGATAAGGGCCAAGAACATTGATGTCACAGCAGAGTTTTGAGTCCGCAAAAAGAACATGCACCGCAAAAATAAACAGCCCCTGAGTTAGAAAATTTGAAAAAGCAATGAAAGTACCGTGGCCGTGACAGAGGCCCAACTTCCGCCCAAGTTTCATAACTACAGGGGCGGGTTTTGGTGCCGGAGGAGAATGGGGGAAAAACGGGTCAACCTATTAATTTTTGGTCCAATTTTTGGACTGAAATTGCCAGCATATCCCCGATGGAACATACTGGAGGCATTATCCAGCTTTTAATATGGCTATAAACTTGTAAAGTGAAATCTCTGGATAAACAGTCCCCCCGCCCCAACAACCTGACTAGTTCCCAATGCCACTCTCCCAAAAAAACAAACCAGCCATTTTACAGCCAAGTGAAATGATCCAGAATGTCATAATATATGTGTTGTACCCAACACCTACAAACAGGATCTCCGATCCGACATGATGTAGTACATGGATGCTGGGCCCGATTTCCAGCAGGTGACGCTCCGGCGCTCCCCGCCAATAGATGGAGCCTTCAATCAGGGGCCTTGCTTATCGGGGATGCACATAATAGCCCCCTGTAAGCATAACACCCCGGCCATGAAGTTAAAAAAACAAAACAAAAAAAAAGAGCCCTTGTTCCGTCAAAAAAGACTGGCAGTCTGGCGCATTCACCCACTAGTAGTGCCACAGCACTGCCACTTCCTTTTCCACACATTGTCAAACAGTGAGACAGGGCTCTAGTTCATCAGCGTTACTTGTCATAGTTGTCACTGCAAATCACAACCTTTTCTACATAGAGACTGATGAGACAGGTTCAAATGTATCGACCACATTCGTTGGACAGACGCTGAGCTTAAAGAGCATCATTCCCAAATTCCCACTTCCAAGTAGTCCCCTGAGCTCGCCTTTGTGCAATTAAGGGCTCCGCAAATGCCAAGTAGTCCCTTCAGTGGCACCTGTTTTTTCATCTGGCGCAAGGACCTCATTCGAAATCGTCAATTCGTAACGGCGAAAGGACTACATCACCCAACTCAGAAAATCTCTGGCCACATACACTCAGGGTAACTACCTTCACACCGGAACCGCCGAACTGGCAAGTCTTGAAGAACATTAACTCCTTCATACTTCTTCACTCCATCATCCAGTTGCTGTCCCCGGAAACAACCCCTGTAAAAGAGGCCTCCGTGTGTCTAATGTGAACCCCCCCTCCCCCCCCCAATGCCAGTGATGCCACCTCCTGATAAGGTTACCCCTCTTTTCTAAGCCACAGGCTCCGCGCACAAGCAATTCGTCCAAAGTAGTAACTGTTGCTCTCTGCACTGTCAATGACATTGTACGACGCACGTCACCCGTGGCTAGTCCATGAAGAGTTGATGCCATAATATGATAAGTCGATAGTCTCTAAATCGTCTACTAACCTCGTTCTATAAGGTCTATAGACAGAAATTTGAAGTCTATGCTTAGTTCAATTACCAGAGTCTCTAGTTCCCGCAGCAATGTCACAGTATGATTCATAGTACTCGGTTCATAGACTGGTTCTGCATTCCTTGAAAGTCTTTAGACCAGGTTCCAGTTGACTAAGTCTTGCTGGACTTAGACCATAGGTCGATAACCCATAGACACACAAAGCTATCTATAGTTCCAATGACATGTACTGAGCTTGTAGTGCCTATAGACCATAGTGACTGTCCGTCATAGGAACTTTCAAGTTAAACTTTGTAGACTGGGTCAGCATCGCTCGCCAAGTTGTCAGTCTTGAGACGACGACCTTGTTGCCTTAGCTAATCCTTAAAGTTTACCAGACAAATGGTAAGATGCCAGCTACGAAGACTCGGACTCGGCATCTGCCATCACAAGCATGGTGAATTAGAGATCAGACTAGCCAGGAACGCGCTAACCAATCGGGCTCCATTCGAAGAATTGAACATGATGAACACGAGCCTCCGGGTCAAAGCATAGTGGCCAAGGCTGTAGACTAAGGGGCGAAGGGCATAGACTAGGACTATAGACCCAGGTTATAGACCAAGCCTATATCCCAACGAGTCACAGACGGTTGGCGAGGGCTGTATACCAAGCCCATAGACCAAGCCCATAGACCAAGCCTATAGACCAAGCCTATAGACCAAGGCCATCAACCAAGGCTGGAGGGCAAAGATATAGACTGAGGGTATAACCCGTGGTCAATAGACGAAGGCTAGAGGGCAAAGGTATAGACTGAGGGTACAGGCCTAGGCCCGTATCGGCCAGGCCAACATGCTTAGCACTCAGTTTCCATTCAAAGGTGATGAAGGCTATCGTGATCTATAGACACAGAAGCCACTATATTCCAAGACCATAATACAGGATTATATAGCAAGGCAACATCCTATGCCTATAGACCAAGGCTAGAGGGCAAAGGTATAGACTGAGGCCCGTATCGGCCAGGCCAACATGCTTAGCACTCAGTTTCCGTTCGGAGGTGATGAAGGCTATTGTGATCTATAATAGAGACAGAATCCGCTATATTCCAAGACCATAATACAGGATTATATACCAAGGCTACATCCCATGCCTATAGACCAAGGCTATAGACCAAAGGTACAGATGAAAGCTACACACTAGGAACAACGACCGCCGTTCAAAGCTACACACTTAGCACAACAGCCTCCATTCAAAGCTCATGAACATCAAGTATAGACCAAGTCACCAAGGATATAGAGTCTATAGACTGAGGCCATAAATCAGCATTATAGGCTGACGCCAGGACCCTGGGCCGTGGCTATAGACCAACTTGAAGGCTATCACCTACGCCTATAGACCAAGTCTAAAGGCCAAGGAAGGTTATAGGCCAAGTCTATAGAATAATATGGCTATAATCTCGCTGGAGCATGTTTAGAAAGATTTATTTTTCGGGAAATTTTGCCCTTTCACCTGATAGTATTCGTCATCGGATCATCATCACTTTACAATGATCAAGATTCAAGAGGAAGGTAGCTAGCTGAACAGCCTGGACTATCACACCTTCTCTTTTTTTAATGAGCTGTAATTACACAAGTTACACTAGCAGTACCTTTTGACTGATTCTGGCTGTGATTGCAGTCACGTACATGACAGAAATTGTGTGTGTGAGTATGCCTTTATTCACCCATCCATCTTATACTATTCTCCGTCAGCTTTCTTTACAAAGATATAGACGGTATTAGATGCACATAGTGGTACCTTTACCGCTTGACTCGGCTTGAGTCAGTCTAGTCATCGACACGTACTTAGACTGCTTCTAGAACCTGCTTAGCTTTAAGATTAGTCATTGGCTTTAGCACCTACTTAGCCTTCAGACTACTAACCCTTTAGCACGCTTCTGCTCAGCCATTAGATCAGTCATTACGACTCATTACGACTCATTACGACTCATTACGACTCATTGCGACTCATTACCATAAGCCCCTGCTTAGCCAATAGCACCCGCTTAGCCAATTATAGACGAACTCATTAGCATGTGCTTTCAATTTGCCTCTCAATTAAGCCCCGAGCACCTGCTTAGCCAGCTTCTAGACTAAGTCATGTGCACCTGCTTAGCTTTATGATTAGTGGGTAGCACTAGTACATATGTGACCATTAGACAAAGCCATAGCAAGTACTTCGAGTCTAGTAGAGTCTAGACTAAGCCATGACCACTTGCTTAGCCAACCTTGAGGCTAAGGCATGGGGACCCACCTGCTTAAAGCCCAAGTACACGGCCCCAGCCTTGCAGCGAAACATCTTGTCGTTACGAGATTGTTTTTGCGGCTAGGGCCTACCGGACCACAAAGGCTGGCGCCGTGAGCCAAAAAAGAAAAGAACTGCCGCGCTGGCCGTTCGGAACTTAGGAAAGTGCGCCGCTGGCTCTTCGGAAAAAGAGGCCCGGGCGGTTCGGAAAAAGAGGCCCGGGTGTACTGGTGGTTTAACCTTTATGTAAGTGACTGCCAGTGGGATTAGCACCTAGTTAATAGCCTTTCAACTAAGCCATTAGCACAGGCTTCTCTTTAAGACTAAGTCACTAAGCCATGGGCACTTTACTAGCCAGCCTCTAGAGTCTAGACTAAGCAATGGGTACTGCTTAGCCTGTAGAATCTGGATTATTTGCGAGGCTCAGCACCTACTCAGCGTGTAGGCTAAGCCACTTGGCAGTGGCACATGTTTTGCCTCCAAACTAAGTAAAAGGCTCCCGCTTAGCCTTCAAACATTAGCATAATTAGCACATTAGACCAAGGCATTAGGACGGGCTTCGCCTGTAGACTAAGTCATGAGCATCTTCTTAGCCAGCCTCTAGACTAAGCCATGAGTACCTGCTTAGCCTTTAGATTTTTCAGTGGCACTAGGTTTAGCACCTCCTTAGCATTTAGGCTAAGCCATTAGCACGTATTTCTCCTCTAAATTTACTGGTTATTGTTGGCACCTGCTTAGCCCATAGACATAAAAGCATCAGCACATTAGACTAGACCATCAGCACCTACTAAGGCTTTAGAGTCTAGACTAAGCCATTAGCACGTGCTCGCCACTCTCAAGTAATCCACACGCATCTGCGCAGATTTTAGACAAACTGTTTAGCATCAGCAACTGCTTTGCCCGTCGACTAATAGATTATCATAGACGTAGCCTATAGAGTCGTATAGCCTTAATTCATTAGCATGCCCTACTTACAGATGAGCATCTATGTTAAGTTAGACTACAGACGTAAGTCATTAGCATCTACTTAGCCTATAGACTTCTTAGCATCTACTTAACCTATAGACTTATCAGCATCTACTTAACCTATAGAATTACGTCATCAGGCCTATAGACTTATTACTAAGTTATTTGCATGTACTTCGCCTATTAAGTCGTTAGGCCTATAGACTTATTAGCATGTACTTTGTCTATTAATAAGTCATTAGCATCTACTTAGCAATGCCATTAAGACTTTCAAGTCATTAGGTCTATAGTCTTAACTCTTATTAAGTAGACTTAAGTCATTGGCATCCACTTAATGCATCGAGTTGTCACCACTTCCCCGGCGTTAGACTCCGTTAGTCACTTAGTCCTAAATCGTAATAGACTAAATTCAATAGTCATTAGCACTTTGCTTGGCCTTCAGGCTAAGCGGACTAAGGCCGGCTCAGCCACGTGGCATGAGAACGGACACGGACGTAGTAGACCAGGTCATTAGCACGCAGTGAGCCCCTAGACTTAATAGTCATTAGCACGCACTTAGTGCTAAGTGCCTGACTAAGACAGCAACACCTAACTTAAGGTGTTTACCCATTTCTGGGATTTCGGCAGCCTTATCTATGCGCAATTATAGCAGTCAGACACATGCAAAGTGGCTCAAGTGTGAATCCGTTTCCCCATGGACCCCATCCCCTTCATACTAACTCATTAGCACCTAGTACTGGGTACCTAAGACTTGCTTGCCGGGGAGTCGGGACTACAGTTTTTTTTTTTCAAAACGAAAAGGAAAGAGTTGCTTGCTATTTAAAAAAAAAAAAAAAAAAAAAAGCTTACCATAGTTAGTTACATAATTACATTATTATTATTATTTATTATTAACGTACATACCTAGT